GGTGGGCGTGTCCCCCCGCGGTGGGCGTGGTCCTCCCCGCGCTATAACGCGCCTGCGCAGTCGCGGCGCTGCGGTCGCGGTCCAAGATGGCGGCGGTGCGGGCGCTGCGCGGGGCCGTGAACGGCGCCGGGCCCGGCGGGCCCCGCGAGCAGGCGGCGGCCCTCACCCGAGACTTCCTGTCCCAGCCGCGCCTCAGTGAGTGCGGGGGCACCGGGACAACGCGGGGGGGCGCGGGGGAGGGGGATCGGCCCCGCTCGGCGGCCGCGCACAGCCCGGGCCGCAGCCCCGCGCCCCTCGGGCGGCTGCCCGCGGCAGGACCGCCTGGGCCCGGGCCCTGCAGAGCGGTCTGGGGGTTCCCTGAGCTTTCCCTGCAGCGTTCGAGGGCGGCGGGCCGGGGTCCGGCTGCAGTGGGGCTGTTAATTGGTATTAATTAATCACTGTGTCCTGCCTCAAAGCGGGCTCCCGGCGAACACGGGCCGCTCCCGGGCCTTCCTGGGAACCCGGCGTTGGCAGCAGGAACGGGAAGTGGCTGTGGATGGTGCGGGTGCGGCGGGGGCTGCTCCTTCAACGCTGAGTTGAGAAATCTGGTGAAAAAAGGGAAATGCGGGAACTTTGTAAAAATCCCCTCGTTGCAGGGCTGTGGGAAGGGGTGTTTTTCCTGGCAGTGACTCCACCTGTGACCTGAATGGCACCAGGACCTGCAGGGGTTGCCCAGGAGCTCCTGGAAAAGTCACTCAGGTTGAGAAGCCAATCTTTGCAATTCCAGCCTCTCCCAAGGCTTTGGAGCCTTCTGTTAAGGTTGGAGCCAAGGTGACTCCATGTTCTATCCAGGTTTCTCCGTTCTGGCTTTGACCTGAACTGACGTCAAGCAGGGTATGGAAAATATTTCCAGTTGCTTTTGGTTCATCGTGGAACTGGTTGATCAGAATGGAAAGGGGAATTTGGAGCTGCTTTCCTGGGGGATTGGTGCTGAGCGATCCTGCTGGATGCCAGGGAAGTGTTTTCCCGTGGACAGAGCAGGGGGTGGGAGCCCTGTGGGTGGATTGAGGAAGGAGAGCTCATGAGGCAGTCATGGGATGAAAAGCTCCGCTCAGGGTCATGTTTTCCATGCCTTGTGGCCTGCAAACCCTGAGAGTGTGAGCAGAGCCCTCGTGGATGGTGTCTGGGTGATCCCTCCCTGCTCAGGTGGCACGACCAGCTCAGCTGCTGCTTCTCATTAAGGGACACGTGTTTTGTCTCAGGGTGTTCAGGAGGATTTTAGGAGCAAAACTAAGGAACTGGAGTTCAGTCCCTGGCCCAGCTCCCGCCCTGAGCTCCCCTCAGTTTGATTGTTGCCAGTTAAGATATCACATTGCAACATTCAGGGTGTTTATTGCAGTGTAAACAGCACCTTGTTGATGGTGCACACACGGCCTGGGGAGCTGCCAGGCTGGAGAGGCCCTGGATGCTTCCCTGCAGCTGGTGGAATCTGTGATCTGGTGTCCCCCCCCGTGGCTCCAGTGGCTCGTTCCCCTCTCCCAGGAGCAGTGGGGAACTGTCCCACTTGTGGTCACTGCACCTCGTGACCCTCAGAGGGCTCTGACTCAATAGTTCTTCTTTCTGTGGGTCAAGTGGTGCTGGGCTCCAGCTGCAGCCTGGGGGGTGTATATCCCTGGATCCTGCTGTGTGCCCATCCCTGGATCCTTGGGGTGCATCCCTGGAGCAGGGCTTGCTGCCTTTTCACAGCTTTCCCCTGGGCTCTGCAAAATCATGGAATATCCTCAGCTGGAATCATAAAATCATGGAATGCTTTGGGCTGGAAGGGACCTCAAAGCCCATCCAGTCCCACCCCCTGCCATGGCCAGGGACACCTTCCACTATCCCAGGTTGCTCCAGGCTCATTTTATCCCTGGATGTAGATTTGTAGTGAATTTTTATGACGGACAAAAGCCCAGCAGGATTTTAGGGTCACCTCGGGGGGCCTTTGCAGGAAGCAGCAGGAAATGCTGGACACACAATTCCGTACCTGATCCTTCTGGGAGAGTTCATTTTAAACACAGAAATGGAGCCCCACGACTGCAAACCTGAGCCTGGTGATAAGCATGGAACTGGGAAAACCTGATCTAGGATGTTTCTAAGGAAGCACCACCTGACTTGTGGCTTGTTTTTTTTTTCCAGCCTATAAAACTGTCTCTGGTGTGAACGGGCCCCTGGTTATCCTGGATCAAGTCAAGGTAAAAACTTGGATCTTAACGAAGCTTTTTTTTTAAGGGAGAATTTACAAGCAGAGCTGGGGCAGGTTAAATGCAGACTGGTGGGAAATTCTGGCATCCTAAGAGCAATTTTAATCCCTTTCTGGCTGCCGAGAA